AGCCAGAAATATCTATGTAGCAAAACATAAGGCTGAGTTTTGCCCATACCTAGTCAGCGGAGTTGATATGGACCACCTATCGAGAATCAGAGTTTTGAGAAGTATGCACTTGTTACTTGCCAAATCCAAAACCATGTTCTCTCCAAGAATCTAACATAACAGCTTTGCGGAGTGAAAAAGCAACGAAAACACAAAGAAAGGAGTCTGCTGCCCATCAAAGCACTGTGTGTGTGTGTGTAAGTGTGTATTTACATGAATTTCTTGCAGCTGCGTTGGCTGCAAGAACTGGGAGGTTGTTTTCGGTGTTTTAAATAACTGAGCCAGCAAAATCTGTCCACTGCAACATGACTAAACATCTCCAGACACACTAAAAAGAAAGCTACTCGGGGCTGCGTGCTGCTGGAGGGTTTCTTTAAAGGGTGGAGAAAAAGATGGATAATGAATCCCACATGCCCAAATGGCAGCTGAGTTTGGATTACATGATAAAGTGGATGTAGCCAAAACACCTCATTTGTCTCTCCAAGCATTACGTTCTCTTCCCTCCCCCAGCCAGGGACCACGGGGAGGAAAAAAAAATGCCTTAAAACATTGTTTTCTGTGGTAATGTAATTAGTACATTAAAGAAAGCAATCCCAAACAATTCAAATTGCTAAAAAGATCCACAGGCAAATATATTCTCGATATTCTCTAGCAAATACTCCCGCCGTTCAAATCCCAAGTGATTTAAGAGCCCTTTCTCTGAAAAGGGAATTCATGAGTTAGCTTAAGAATTATCACCTTTGCAAAAAGCGCAATAGCCTATTGCACATGTGCATGGTTCCATGCTGCATGCGCACAGCTTCTCTCAAAATCAGAATTTAATCTATCATGGATTAATTTGTGTTGCAAAAAAAAAAAGTTGTAGAAGAACCTTACCTTTCATCGTTCCTGTGAACGAGTTCTGAATGAGCTTTGATTTTCACGCACACCGAATAAATGCACTTTTCACCCACTCTCAGCACAGTTTAGTGATTGCAAGTGGGGTTTGCCATTTTGTGATTGGCCTGAGGTCACCCAGCAAGCTTCCCCGGCAGAGTGGGGATTCGAACCTGAGTCATCCAGACCCTCGTTCAACACCGTAACCACTACTGAGAGTGGTGTGGTGTACTGTGGTGTAGTGGTTAAAAGTGGTGGACTCCAATCTGGAGAACCGGGTTTGATTCCCCACTCTTCCTCCACATGAAGCCCACTGGGTGACCGTGGGCCGGTCACAGTTCTCTCTGAACTCTCTCAGCCCCACCTACTTCACAGGGTGACTGTTGTGGGGATAGGAAGGGAAGGAGATTGTGAGATGCTCTGCATTGTAAGCTGCATTGTGCAAGGGGTTGGACTAGATGACCCTGGAGGTCCCTTCCAACTTTATGATTCTATGACTCCTTCGAGTAGTGAAAAGCAGGGTATAAAAACCAACTCTTCTCTTCTTCTTCTACCACACTCTGCCTTTCAGTCAGTGGCTTCTGAGATTAGGTCTGGATTAAAAGCATCAACTAAAAGCAATCAGTATATCAGTAATTAAAGATCGACAAACAGTAATTTCAGAATGAAATCCATTAATTTTTTAAAAATAATTATTTTATTAATAATTTCATAAACAGCAAACAATACAAAGAAAACAAGCCAACAAAGTGTACAACCAACATGTAGAAACATTATAACAAAATTGCGAGCCGTATTCCAAAAATAAGTAAACTAAAAAAAACTACCAAAAATGGTCTAAACCATTTAATGCCATGGGTGGGAAGGTAACAGCGTTCCGTGCACCTTGTTGTTCAGTCATGCCAGCCACATGACCACAGAAACGTCTTCGGACAGCGCTGGTTCTTCGGCTTTGAAACGGAGATGAGCACCGCAACCCTAGAGTCGGATTCGACTGGCTTTCGAGCAAGGGAACCTTTACCTTTACCACCCATAAACCTAACAAACCTCAAAAAAAAAAGCTAATTGTGCATATAAAGCACTTGCCAGTATTATTTCGTTATCTGCCATATATTGAAGCACCAGGAACCAGGTACTGATGAATTTGGAGTGAGATTGAAAATTCTCTGAAGAGTATAATGACAGATAATTTTGTCATTATAAACTGCTCCCAGATTTTATCGTGCCACTGAAAGATTGACGGAGTGACCTGGTCTTTCCACTTGGACGAGATAACGAATGCTGCTGTTGTAAGCAAAATAGCAACCAACTCTCTGGTCAAGTTTCTCATGTGTAATTCAGGCCAATGCTGTAAAAGAATTGCCGCAGGACTGAAAGGAAGATCTACCGATGTAATCTGTTTGACCCGGGAACAAATTTTGAGCCCAAATTTCTGTATAAACCTACACTACCACCAACAATGTTTGTAAGTGCCTACATTGCCACATTTCTTCCAGCAATCAAGAGAGTTGGATGGGTATATGAAATCCATTAGTTAAAAAACCCCCAAGAAATAAAATAGTTACACTATGAGATAAGGCCCTGACCTGGATAGTATAGTAAATAATCAGCGATTACACAGTAAACATGATAAGACCAAAAAAAAAAAACCTGCAGAAGGATGCTAAGAATAGAACAGAATAATAAAACAATTTACTAATGAGTAAATTGAGGATCCATTTGCATGTCCATTGTAGATTTACCTGTTGGATTAATAATATTGCAGATTTACCTGTTGGATTGTTGAAAATTTACCTGTAAAACCTATCTGGCGTCCAATGCCATCTATATATCATTTTTATTATGTTTTCTCTGTAGGATATTGCTCTCAGAAATTTAATTGATTTCCACGTTTTGCACCATTCTTTCCTCTCTATATTCCGCCCTACATCTTTTTCCCATTTAATCATTGTAGGTTTTTTCCAGTCCTCCGATGTTTCATCTTCTAATAAGAAGTTATAGATGTTGGAGGTGCAACCATAATATAGGAATGTATTTTCACATATGGTGGAATTGTGAAAAGATACAAAGCTTTTGGAAAATGATAAAACACCTGATAAGAGAGATCATAGAGATAGATCTAGCTCTTATCCCTGAAACTTTCTTGTTAAATATAACACCTGATGGACTTAAATTCAATGCAAAATGTATTATTATTTATTTAATTACAATGGTTAGGATAACTATTGCAAAGAACTGGAAATCGGATAATTTGCCGAGTCGAGATGTTTTGATTAGCAATTTCTATGAAATAATAGAAATGGATAAACTAAATATGTTTCTAGCGGGAAAAACAAGAGAACAATTTAATCAGAAATGGCAAAAAGTCATTAAGTGGTACGACGATAACGTGTGTGGTTAACCCCCAAACTGAAATGTAAAAATTTTGTTTGTAT